AAAGAAAGAAAGAAAGAAAGAAAGAAAGAAAGAAAGAAAGAAAGAAAGAAAAAGAAAGGAAGAAAGAAAGAAAGAGAATGAAAGAACAAAAGAAAGAAAGAACAAAAGAATGAAAGAAGGAAAGAAAGCTGTCAGGAAAAAAGGAGGCAGAGATGCCATGATTTGGAGTTAATATATATATGACTAGAAAACTCAGGAGAAGTTAGCCTAATCTACTAAAAAAAGAGTTCAGTAAGATGGACAATGATAAATCATTAAAAGTCAAAGTTCTTTTGGTATACCAAAAGAACCATTTAGAATATATAATAAAAATATATCCCCATTCATTAAGCTACAAGACCCAAGCTATCTAGTAGTAATTTGTCCAAAGAAGTGCAAGGTTTATATGAAGAAACATATAAACCCCCAAATGAAGACTACGAAAAGATATGTAAAAATGAAGTTCTTAAATAGAAAGACTTAATACTACAAAGTTGTTCATGCTTTCTACACTAATCTCTAAATTCAATAAAATCCCAATAAATATCCCCAAAGGAGGTCTTTAAACTCGACAGCTTTTTTAGAGTTTAGTTGGTACCATAGATATTTCAAAACCGTTGAAAAATTCTAACGAGGGCAGACTTGTCTTCTATGTTAAAACATATTCTAAAGTTACAGTGATTGACATAACATGCTTCCACCTGCAGAGTCCAAAGCTAGAAATCAATTTTGCTTAAAGAGAACACAGTTCGGGCGCCTGGGTGGCGCAGTCGGTTAAGCGTCCGACTTCAGCCAGGTCACGATCTCGCGGTCCGGGAGTTCGAGCCCCGCGTCGGGCTCTGGGCTGATGGCTCAGAGCCTGGAGCCTGTTTCCGATTCTGTGTCTCCCTCTCTCTCTGCCCCTCCCCCGTTCATGCTCTGTCTCTCTCTGTCCCCAAAATAAATAAACGTTGGAAAAAAAAAAAAAAGAGAACACAGTTCAAATCAGTGGGAAATGACAGATTATTAATAAAGAGCATTTAGACAACTAGAAAGCCTTTTGAAAATTATTTTTACCTCACTCTTAACACCAAAATCATCTCAGGCTAATGTTAAAGAAAAAAATATGGAAAAATGGGAAAACATAGGGAAAAAATACATAGTCCTGGGATGGGATAAGGACAATACTCTAAAGCCATAAAAGACTCACAGATCTGCAATTTAAGAAATTTAAAGTTCTATTTGGCAAAAGACACAAAACAGAAAGCTAAACAAAACAAACTGGGGGAAGAAGGATTTGCAACACATGACAAAGGGTTACTATTTATAATATGTGGAAATTATTAATAAGGGAGGAACAATCTAGTAAAAATGGGGCAGAGGAAATGAATAGGCAATTCATAAAAGTTATAAATGCAGACAGACAATAAACACACTGGATGTCTAATCCTATCTATCCAAGATGGACACGTAAGAATCAGGAGGTAAATGACATTTTACTTAAATTGGCAAATATTTATAAGGATTGCTAATGTGCCCATGCTTGCAAGGGAATGGGAAGATAGGCACCTCCCTCTCTGCGGGTAGGAGTATAATTGGGTCCAGTCCCGGCTC